GTGCTGTCCCTGTCCTGGGAGTGTTTGATGGGGGCAGTGTAGAGAGAGCTTTACTCTGTATCTAACCCCGAGCTGTCCCTGTTCTGGGAGTGTTTGATGGGGGGGACAGTGTAGCAGGAGCTTTACTCTGTATCTAACCCCGTGCTGTCCCTGTCCTGGGAGTGTTTGATGGAGACAGTGTAGAGGAAGATTTACTCTGTATCTAACCCAGTACTGTCCCTCTTCTAGGAGAGTTTGATGGGGGACAGTGTAGAGGAAGCTTTACTCTGTATCTAACCCCATGCTGTCCATGTCTTGGGAGTGTTTAATGGTAACAGTGGAGAAGGAGCTTTACTATGTCTGTGCTGGGAGATCTTATGAACATGATTAGGAGAGCAGAGGTGGGATAGGAGAAACCATGCCTCAGTTAAGGGGGGAGTTTGAGAAGACTGGGCCTTCTTGGTAACCTATATTAGATAACGTCGCCATTGCCCTACTTCATTAGAGATAAACATGGCTAGGGGGTGGTTTAACCTGAGGGTCACCATAACCTCAGGCGAGGGGAAAGGTTGAGAAGGAGGAAACTGTCATAGGATGTGGATAACCGGGAAATTCCATTCGGGATCAAGGGGGCAGTCTGCGTGTGGATTCAGAGGACATTGGTAGGGTCTTGAAAGAATAGCTCACTTCTGTCTTTACTCAGGAGAAAGAGGATGTGACAGCGTTTAGGGAGGGGAAATGGGAGGTTCTTGAGCAGATGGGTATGGCGAGTGAGGTGGCATTAGGAGGTATAAGAGTGAACAAATCTCCAGGTGCAGATGAGTTGTATCCCGGTCTGCTGAGGGAAATGGGGGTGGGGTGGGAAATCATAGGAGCCCTGACCCACATTTTTAAATCATTTCAGGCCAACAGGGGAAGGTGCCAGACGACTGGAGGAGAGCTAATGTGGTTCCACTTTACAAGAAGGGTGGTAGATAGAGACCAGGGAACGTCAGACTAGTGCGTCTCAGATCAGCGCTGGGGAAGCCACTGAATGGACGGAGAGAATTAACCTCCATTTAGTGAACAAAGTCAGAAGTCACATGACACCAGATTGTAGCCCAACTGGTTTATTTGAAATCACAAGCTTTTGAAGCGCTGCTCCTTTGTCAGGTAACTTGAGGACATCTTGTGATTTCAAATAAACCTGTTGGACCACAACCTGGTGTCGTGTGACTTCTGATATTGTCCACCCCAGTCCAACACCGGCACCTCCGCATCAGTCAGTGAGGCAGAGTTCGATCAGGGATAGTCGGCATGGCTTTGTCAGAGGGAGGTCATGCCTGACAAATCTGGTTGAGTTTTTCGAGGAGGTGTAGATGAGGGCAGGGCAGTTGATGTGGTTTATCTGGATTCCAGCAAGGCCTTTGACAAGGTCCCATGCGGAACACTGATAAAGAAGACAAAAGCTCATGGGATCCAGGGTCACTTGGCAAGATGGTTCGGCTTAGAGACAGGAGGCAGAGGGTGGTGGTGGAAAGCTGACTGTGTGACTGGAGCCCATTAGCATTTCACAGGGATCAGTGATGGGCCTCTCATTGCTCATAACCTATATAAGCAATGAGAATACGGGGGAGATGATAAGTAAGTTTGCAGACGTGGGTGGTGACAGTGAAGAGGGAGATCTTACGTTACAAGAGGATGTAGACAGGTTGGTCAGATGGACCAAATAGTTGGAGAAGTGGCAGATAGAATGTAACTTTCATAAGTATGAGTTGATGCACTTCAGATGGAGGAATAAGACAAGGATATACTCAATGAATGGCAGGGCAGTAGAAAGTTCAGAGGACAAAGGGATCTTGGGGAGTTTGTTCAAACATCCCTGAAGATGGCAGAACAGGTTCATAAGGTCATTAAGAAGGCATATGGGACACTTGTCTTTATCAGTCATAGCATAGATTGTAAGAACGGGGAGATTATGTTGGAGCTGCACAGAACTTTGGTTAGGCCACAGCTGGAGTACTGTAATGCAGTTCTGCTTCCCGCGCTGTAGGAAGGATGTGATTGCTCTGGAAGGGGTGCAGAGGAGATTCACCAGGATGTTACCTAGGATGGAGTATTTCAGCGATGAAGAGAGGCTGGATAAGCTCAGGCTGTTTTCTTTGGAGCAGAGAAGGCTGAGGGGTGACCTGATAGAGGTGTGTAAATTTATGAGGGGCATGGACAGAGTAGATGGAAAGATAGATTCCCTTAGTCAAAGGATCAATAACAAGGAGGCAGAATTTTCAGGTGAAAAGCAGGAGGTTTTGAGAGGATTTAAGGAAAATGTTTTCATCCAGGGGGTGGTGGGGGCGTGGAATGAGGGCACTTGAGGCAGGAAACCTCATGATCTTTTAAAAGCACTTGGAAGAGCACTCAAAGTGTCATAACATTCAAAATCATGGGCCAAGTGCGGGTAAAGTCAGATTAATGTAGATAGGTCACTGCAGACATGATGGGCTGAAGAGCCTCTTTCATGCTGTACGACTCTATGACTGTCCATGCCCTGGGAGTGTTTGATGGGGACAGTGTAGACGGAGCTTTACTCTGTATCTAACCCCGTGCTGTCCCTGTCCTGGGAGTGTTTG